GATCTTCTAAACCTAAACCTCTCAGACTGCACTGAGAAAGTCATTGCTGAGTACATATGGTTCGTGCCGCTCCTTTTCATCAACATATTCTATGTGTAACTCGCTAACTGCATATATTAATGACATTTCTATCTTGTGATCCCCATAATTGCTGTCTCTTTACATATTCTCTGTTTGTTTGCTGAGAAAGTTGAGGGAAAATGTGGTCTAAAGTCACTAACTTTTTAGTGTATTTTTCCTTAAATGTTCTTATTGATTCAATTAATCATATCCTTTAAGTAAACCTTCAATATACCATTTTTTGAATGATGGACAATTACTTGTTTTCAGGGTCGGTGGATCTGGCTTAGACATTAGAAGCAAAGCAAGAGTAATGAATTTTGACCCTCTTGAGAAAATATCTTTCATCTTGTTATTTATCTGAGCAAGATTTGTAGTTCATTCTAACTTTTATTTAATTATTATTATTATTTTTTTTATCATGTATAGACTCTTTCCGGACCTGTTAATGATCTCTCAAAGCTTCCCAAGTGGAATTATGATGGTTCAAGCACTGGTCAAGCTCCTAAGGACGGCAGTGAAGTGATCTTATAGTAGGCCTTTTATATTCTGTTTATCATATTCTCAACTTTGAAATAGTGGGTTTTTTTTTAAAGAACATTTTTTTAATATTTTAAATCAATTATACAGTCCTCAAGCTATCTTCAGAGATCCATTTAGGAGGGGCAACAATATTCTTGTGAGTTCCATGTTACTAACCACACTTTTCATGCAATTTTTTTGTTTAGTCCTAATTTCTAAAACCATGGAGTTGACTTGCTCTTTAATTCCATTCAACTCTCAGGTCATGTGTGATACATACACTCCAGCAGGAGAGCCAATTCCCACTAACGAAAGACATGCTGCTGCAAAGATATTTAGCCATCCTGATGTTGTCGCCGAAGAACCCTGGTATCTTTCATCAAACAAAGCTTGAATTCTAACCTTGTTTTGTATTTTCTATGGAATATGCAATTTAATTTCAACATAATGTGGAATTATAGGTATGGTATTGAGCAAGAGTACACCTTGTTGCAGAAAGATGTTAAATGGCCTATTGGATGGCCTATTGGTGGCTACCCTGGACCTCAGGTAACTACACTTTCTTCCTTCCAATGGCTAAATAGTTCCAGTTATCCCAAAAAGCACTTCATTGTTATCTCAATAACTTGTTCGATAAAAAGATTGAATGTTTTGGTAATTGCTTGACAGGGACCATACTACAGTGGTGTTGGTGTTGACAAGGCCTTTGGGCGTGATGTTGTCGATTCTCATTACAAAGCTTGTTTATATGCAGGTGTCAATATCAGTGGCATCAATGGAGAAGTGATGCCAGGCCAGGTAAACTGAAAATATCCTTCTTTAAAGCTCAATACCAATGCTATTATATGGTGAATGTATCATGTATGTCTCATTCTGTATGTTCTGCAGTGGGAGTTTCAAGTGGGTCCTTCGGTTGGTATCTCTGCTGCGGATGAGTTGTGGATTGCTCGCTACATTTTGGAGGTAATCTAGAAGACTCTAATTAACACGAAATGACAATTATCAATTATGTTTTCTCGAGTAGTTGTTAATATTTGCTAAATATTTTTACCCTTTTCTTGGCAGAGGATTACAGAGATTGCTGGAGTGGTGCTCTCCTT